TTCCAATCTATCTCTGGTCTTAGGAATAATAAGAGTATCATAAGTGTTAGTTTTTAATGCATTAAGTAGGAATAATTCTTTGTCAAAACATTTGTTTTGACATTACATTTATAATCTAATCTTCAAATCCCCATGTAAGGTTCACCCCACCTGCATATGTTTTCCATTATTAATAGATTTCCTAGGTAGAGAATTCCTTGTAGCTGCTGCTACGCTGCCTGTTTACACTTGAGCTGTACGAGTAGGTGGTAACAGATGTGCTGCCAATAACTCTTTTCCCTTTTTGTTCTCTTCAGTAGTTCCCTGAAATGGGTGGCAAGGATGAGCACGTGAAGATCACAAGCGAGCGCAAGCCTGGGTTTCTGGAGCGCCTCAGTGAGACTTCTGGAGGGATGCTTGTTGGCCTGGCCACTTTTGCCCTGTCTTTCTATGTTCTTTTTACCAATGAGGTGAGAGGGAATGGGCAAAAATGTCAGGTTTAAACTGGACAAGAGTTGCACATGCAAAATAAGCTGTTTTGATCGTTTTGGAAGTGTGCAAAATGATGCATATCTCCAGAACAATGGAAGCATCTCTTTTGAATTTGAAATGGGGGTGGAGGGTGAATTTAAAATGTTTTAACATTTTGCACAAAACTACAGTGCATGTAAGATGTGTTTGGACTATTTTCAAGGGCACCTAAGATTAAGGGCAATGCTCCCTGTATCATATGTCACACAATGTCGTCATTTCCAGGACAAAGAAGCTGCAAAAACAGATCCATTTTTGGAAAGGCCCTACTTTGTTGTTTTAATTCCTTCATGAGGTTAAGACCTTCATTCATGGATTTGGATAATCTGTAAAATATGTTATATGAAACTGGATATTGGAAAGCATTAAACAACAGTCTTGGCATAGTAGGCTCTCTTTTGAAGCCTTCTTTCTCCTTTGTTCTTGTCATGGATATCCTCCAGGAAGTGCCCTAGTAGTTTGAAGTAAGTGAAAGTAGAGATCTGATGCTCAGCAAATTTATTGAGTTGATTTATTTCAATGAAAAAAGTACTGATGTAGCTTGTGGGGAAATTGTTATGGGGGGAATTTTCATATATATTGCATCTATTGTTGAAAATTAAAGGAAAATGCTTCTCCTTCAAAATGCTTGTGGTATGCTGTTTTATGAATGAACAAGTCATTAGTTCCAACCTTTTATTTTAATGCAGTTTCAAGGAGAACTGAACAGTCCTATGTCAGGATCCTTTGTATTTTTATATTTGGCATCAGACTTGGAGTTTTAGTTCAATGAATCCTTGTGCCAAAGAGTTCCACGGGCTTTGAAGGCTGCTTTGCATTAACAGTGCATAAAACCATTCTGCCTGCCTTCCGAGATGCTATTTACTATTCCAGCAAGATTAGATTATTTAAAGAGGAGAAGGTTGATCACTGAGTTCCTGCAACCAAAGTACTTTATTTTTTTCTGTGTAAATGAATTTTCATTCAAAAACAAATCTTTTCTGTGTGGTGATTTCAGCATGACACTGCATTGACAAGTTCTTGCTTCAAGGGCCTATTTGAACCACTTTATCTCTCATTTCACCATTTCTAGGGGCGAGCTTTGAAAACAGCCTCCTCTTTGGCTGAGGGGCTTTCCCTAGTGGTCCCACTTGACAACATCCAGATTATATCCCAGGAGAATGACAAGAAACTTGTGCACTTATCTGGTATCCTTAGAACATCAAAGGTAAATTGCCTTAGTTCAAAATTTTCCTCATCTTTTCACATTACAGCTTTTTTGAAAAAACGTGTTGCTTCTTCTGTCCTCCCCCACTCCCAGTCCTGCTGTGCTGCCTCATTGTGGCGGTGGGTGTGTGTGTGTCTGTTCCTGGGAGGGATAAGCAAAGAACGTTGGGAGTGTATGCCAAGAGTATATACTCCCAGCAGGGTCACCCAAGGCATTAAGGTCATCCCAGCTGCCGAGCTAAAGCAAGCAGGCACCTATAATGGGCAGCAGCAATATAGGAAGATGCCAGAGGAAGATGATCACTTTAGTGACAATGGCAAAGGCATCAATTCATACTGTATTGGGAAAGGCAATGGTAAACCACTCCTGTATTTTTATTAAGAAAACCAAGAAAAAGGTGGATCGACTCAGTTACAGTGGCGATGAGTGCACCATTGGGAGACTTGAAAGGGTTAGGGATGGAGAAAATCTATCTGTGTGGTCACTAGGAGTCGAAAATGTCTTGATGGCATATCATCAATCAGTCAAGTCAATCAATCAGTCAATCAATCTTCTGTCCTGCTAGGTTGAATGACTTATGGGGAAAAAATTAAATGGTATCTTTCTTTTCTTTCTTGGTCTGCCTGCTGAGCATCTAAGGAAGTCCTTGTAGACAATAGATCTCTTACCAACTGACATTTGTTTGTATTTGCTAGCCTTTATATGATCCCAGCTATGGGCTTTCTGTTCGGGCAGTGAAGCTCAAACGTCAGGTGGAGATGTATCAGTGGGTTGAGTATGAAGATTCAAGGTAAGATGCTCACAATAGTCATATTTTCTGTACCATAAACCGTGTGCATGTTTCTAGCGGGGCGGGGGGGAGCAGGTATGTTTGAATTTTTGAATTTCACATAATCCAGTTTAAGATTAAGAGAAAATATTGACATATTTATTCTTTCTTGTAGTTTTTCTTAACTTACTTTTCCTTTCTATCCATAGGGTATATAATAATGGTTTGATCTAGTCTTCTGGTATCCATTTTTTTTTCCACCTATAACAAGTACTGTAGTGCTTCAAAGCTATAAAGAGTGAATGAGCACAGAACTATGAGTCATTTGTTTATAGCAGGCTTCTGGGCTGGAAAGTATGAGCAACTGTGAGGTGGGGGGAAAATAACCAGAAGTTGTCATGCCTACAGCAACCTCCATACCTCATCCTGGGTGTGTGAGATGCCAAACTGAGCTACAGTTAAGCAGCATATAGCATAAATGCTGGAATTTTGGCTCTGCTTCAGATTTCTCAGCCGTAACAAGGATAGGTCTATTTACTAGATATCCTACTTAGATGAAGGAATTTTCCAATGAAGTTTTGAAACAGCAAGTCCCAGTATTCAGAAGGAAATGGGGTAGGAGAAATTTAACAGCTCTTTTAGGGAAATGCATCTTCTTTGTCACAGTTTCATTAATCGCAAATCCCAGTATTTCCCCTTGTGTTCAGTCCTCTTATTTGGAAAGCATTATTCTCTAAGCTTTAGACCACAGAGGGATTGTCTCAGGCCTTGAAACGCTGACATGTTTTCACTGAAATCACAAGATAGTTAAGGGTCTGTCTTAAAAGGAGGCAAATGTACTTGACTTTGGGAGTGGGTGGGTATTCATTGCCGTCATTACGGTGGGGAGGCTTAGGCTGTTCCATATTGATCTAAAGCTCCACTGATACATAATACAAGTTATGTATTTTTATCTAGGAATAAGTCCAATGGTACATATCTGGACTTATTTTCACTTTTTGATATTATTTATGATTGAAATAAAACAGCATGTAAAGTATTCAGAGGAGATTCTGGAGATGTGTATGGTTTGGGATAGTGTTATTTAAAATGACCTCAGCGACTCCTTCCTGAAATTTATTGCTTTTTCAATTTCAACTCAGCACTAAAAATCTGTATCACAATAGAATATGAACTGATAACTCTGCACTACCCATTTTTGTGGCATCCAATGACTGATTTAATGATTGGTAAATGAGCACCAATCCAATACTAGCATAAGAAGAATATAGTAAGGTCTTGTCGAAGGCTTTCACGGCCGGCATACAATGGCTGGCATGGGTCTTCCGGGCTGTGTGGCCGTGTTCTGGAAGTTTTGTTTCCTAACGTTTCGCCAGCACCTGTGACCAGCACCTGTGACCA